CTGATGGTACAGTTGTCGAATTCTCTGACCGATGTCCCATCAATTAAATAGCATATATATATATATATCTTTCATCATCCTTAGAATCTAATCTGTTATATAAATCATTAAAAGCTAAAATCTTTGCATTGCAAATTGCTTTTTTAAACTCCTTACGGACCTTTTTATATCTTTCACAATTATTAAAGTTTTTATAGCTAAACTAATTTTTATAACAAATTTTCTTATTTTTTATCTTTTCTTTCACATTTTGATTCCACCACCAACTATTTTTAATATTAATAGATTTTCTCTTTGATACTCAAAGCACATCTTTTTGCAATATTCTTAAGAAAAAGATGAATATAAGTATATAATAAAGAAATAGACAGAACTCACAAGGAAGAGATAAAAAGAGAGCAAATCCAAAGAATTGATAACAAGCTTAGAAAATATGGTCAAATCAAATACATTTAAAACTGAGTCTAAGCCAAATTCACCTAGATTTCAATTTTTTAGTCATTACTTTTAATGTGTTAAAAACTTTTAATTGTCTTTCCATATGAAAAATTTCTTATTTTATTTTTATGGAGCCTGATATGATATTTTGTTGAATTAAATGATAGAATAAGGCCTTACATGTAGCTCAATAGTCAACAATTCATTTAGTGAGAGTAGAATCAAATACCACATTAGTGTATTCCCACCTTTAATGACCAAGTAGACCTATTGCTACGAAAAGTGATATAAGCATTAAAAATATGAATTCTCTTTATATCCTCACTTCTAGAGGGGAAAATTTATGAAACAATGCACAACGGCAACGTAATTTTTAGACTCATCATACTCATAATGTCATCCACATAAAGACTATTCGCTAAATATAAAGCCAAAGCACAAGTCAATTTAAGAAAGACAAATGCTTTGCCCACCAAAGCCCATTTTGTTTCGAATTTTACTTCATGTAATTTTAAAATTTCCAGAAAACTCTGGGTTTTGAAACTTAATATTTTGAATTCAACATTTTATGTAGTGCATCATCAGTGGGGGATTTAGAATTGTGAAGTTAGGGTGTTTAGAAGAACGTAGAGGTAATTTAATGCTTCAATTAATACGGCCACCCCTTCCCACTTTTTTATATTTTTCATTTTTTTTTTCTATTAGAGATAGAGATAATTGTACTAGGCTATTAATAGTTCTCTTTCAGTACAACAGCAACAACAACAACAAGCCTTTATCCCACTACATGGGATCGGCTACAAGAATTCTTTTTACTCCATTGTTTCCTGTTAAGAGTCAAATTCTCATTTACATCTGATAAAAAGTCTTTTAATATTTTCTGACCAAGTCTTTTTAGGTCTACCTCTATCTTTCTTAATATAGGCCAAATCTAATGCATCTACTAGCCTAACTGAGTCATTGAAAATGTCAACGAATTAGGTGACCAAACCATCTAAGACAACTCTATCTAATCTTATCTGGCACTAGTGATACTCTAACCTTTTTCGTATATACTTGTTTCGCATTCTGTCTTTATGAGTAAAGCCACTCATCCATTTGATCATCTTCATATCTACAACATGCTTCTCTTTTAATGGTTAGCATTTTGCACCATAAAGCATTGTAGGTATCACCACCATCTTATAAAAATTTCCCTTAAGTTTGAGTGGTACTTTTCTATAACACAACAGGCGTGATGCATCCCTACACTTAAATCAACCAACTTGAATTCTACTAATTATCATCTAAAATTACACTCTATATATTCAGTTTTAGATCTACTCAAATGAAAACCTTTAGACTCTAAAGTTGACCTCCATAATTCAAGTTTATCTTTAGCTCCCTTTCTAGTCTTATCAACAAGAAGAATATCATCAGCAAAAAGTTAGAAGAAGAATTGAGGACTGCATTACCAAATTTGAGAAGCATGCAATTTCTCTAGCCATACTTCTAGAGGAAACCTAAACCCTAATAAATTTTATCTCAATGTTCCAAACAACCTTCATTAGTAACTCTGATAGCCTCAATTTATGAAGTTGATACCATATGGCTATGTAAACCAAAAATCAACCAAGGATTGGTGACAAGAAGAAAAAAAAGTAAAACAAATTAATGACAAAAGATGGAGGAAAGGCAAAGCATGTGATCATAGCATATACAAAAAGAGTGCTGATTGGTGAGGTGTAACAAGAAAACCGCGCATGCACTTTGATAGCTAACAACAGCCATCTAGAAGGAAAATGTTACATAAAACTGCAAACAGAAGGGCTGGTTAGTAATTATAGCCATCAACCAGCCCTTCACAACCTTCCAAATTATTGTCAAAACTTGCCCAAAGGAAGGAAAAGCAACTTGAAGAAAAAAAACAACCAGCACTTCCAAAATAGCACTTTTAGCTCTCCAAATAGCAATAGAACAAGATTAATTGGCTTTACAAAAAGAACAATTATTGATATAGCCTGTACAACAATAAAGATAGTTTCAGAAGCATTCCAAAAGAAAGGGATAGCAAAAGTCTACTCTTGTAGCCCATGGCCACAATAAGATTAGGCTAAAGAAGAGCTTTTCAAATTAAATATATAGGTCAAGATGATCATTGCTTCTTCTATCTTTGATAAAACAAGTCAAAATACCTAAATTTCAAAGGAGCTGTTCAACAAACTGAAGTTGAAGATCACACGCCATGCAAATCCTATTCCTTCGGGTGGTTCTAAAAGGAACAGAGCATAAGGTGAATTGACAGTGCCTATTCAAGTTTACAATCAAAGAGTAATAAATTGATGAGGTTATCTACGAGGACATGCTTCTTGACGTGTACCACATAATCTTTGGCATTCTAAGATAGTGACACCATCTACCACCACTGATGACAACAATTCAAACTAGTAAAAGATGCTATATGTACCATTTTCTAGAACTATTCCTTTTTTTGTCCTAAACTTGTTCCCTCAATCAAGCAAAAGAAAAAATAGTTGGTGTCAATAATGATTTTATTTTATTTTTCTTGCATGAGATGATAGTATAGCCACTTAAAACTGCTTTGTTTCCTCTACGCTCAACCCTTCCCAAAACAATCAGGGAAGATGGCTCCTAAAAGAATTTACCACCCTTATGAAAGAGGTGAATTGTTTATTACCTAAAGGAGCTATAGGGCATAAAATGCTAGTGATTCAGACAACCATCTACCAAATCAACAAATATACCACCAATCTATACTGGAGTATAAGTAGATTAGATGCCACATGATAGATTTAACAGGAAGAGTGAGTGATTTGGATGAGAAGTACACCATGTGGAACCCAAATGATACTTATTTGAAGAAGGATAGCGAATAGTGGATGTGCATTGATTACATAGCATTAAACAAGATTACCATCAAGAACCACTATCCATTAGTATAGATCGAGTTGATTTATCAACTACAACCAACCAAATATTTTTTCAAAAAGTTAGTCTATTATCAAATTTCAAGAGGATGTTCTCTCTTTGATATAAAGAAGCTAGTTTAGACTTCTAAACTTTAAGGAGATATTCTTTCCTTGATTCTTGCAATTGGTTAGAATTTTTATTTTCTTTATAAATTATAAATATATAGCTAATGTAGTGGGATAAATGCTTGATATTATTGTTATTGTTATATAAATTACAAATATATTAAAATCAAAGCAAGAAATTTTTTTTTCAAAAATTAGATTTTATAACCATCTTTGTCTTGAACTACAGGAGTAGCCGTTGAACTACAAGAGGAGGCTAGTCACACCTTTCCTCTCTTAGTATTGAACAGAAAGACAAAAAAGGGTTGGTGAAAGCCATCACACATCTGGGTTCAATATTGAAGCATTCAATTTAAATAAATTCAGAATTGTCAACGGAGAATGGAGCACCATGGCGCAAACGTTCCCTATTGAGCCATAATGCAAAAGTTCACAATGCATGCTATTTTAAACATGGGAAATATTATAAATAATTATAAATAAAAATATTTATTACTATGAAGTACTAATTAAATTAAAAAATATACCATTATGATAATAAAAATAACCAAAGTGACACTTAAGTTCAAGTAAAAAATACCTCAATAATAAAAAATTCAAAATATTATAATTATTTTTTCAAGTCTATTTGTTTTATAAGAAATGCAATAATTCAAGAAAACTAAGCTAAACCTAATAAATACTAACATAAATTATAATTTTAAATTTAAAATCCTAAAAAACAATGGTGCATGCTATTTGCGCCATGCTCTATTGGTCCTATATGGCACAAATAGCACTATTTTGAATTAATGCGCCACGCCATGTCATGCACCATGGCACACGCCATTTGCGCCATATACATGCATGCACAAATCTATCAAAAATAATGGATAATTGAATGGACAGCAAACCATAGTTGTTTGGAGAGGAACTTTGAGTAGGGAGGAGAAATGAAAGGGAAGAATTACTAACGGGCTTGTCCACAACTCCATGTCACTCACTTATGAAAATCTAGGATAATGTGATCATTCTTTGTTATTTGACTCCATGGGTTGTGGATCAAACTTACCTTAAAGTGTGTGCCTAGCCGAAGGTGAGCTGATGCCAATCAGAGAAGAAAGAAGAGCAGCTGATGGGCAAGGGAGGAAACCAAATAGGAGAGATGGGAAAAGAATTGGGTTAATAGAGGCCGTGAGGTAGGAGTGAGTGGAAGAGAATAAGGGTAACACAAAGAAGATCTAAAAAAAGCAGAATTATATAAATGCATAGATAACAAGATAAGATCTAAACTAAGCAGATAAACAGCATAAAAATAAGCAAAAAATGATAACTAAATTCAATTTGAATCTGGCTCTGAATGCAACAGCGACTGAAGCATATTCTAGTATATGGGCTTAGTCTTGGAGAACTGTGCACCAATAATTAACAAAGTACAATGAAGTATTAACACTGGCCACAGAAAAAGAACAAAGAAGGAAGAAATGCCTACTATAATGGCATATACTGAAAATGGACAGAGAAATAAGCAGTGTATTAAAAGTGAACCTGTTCAAGTTTTGTTTGAATCTCTTCTACTGAAAGCCTTTCTTCGTTGGTCATGGCTTCACGCAATCCACTTCTATGCCCATTCGATTTGAAGATTTTTGTCTGATAACGGAACTGAGATTATTATTAGCTCTGTCAATTCTGTTTTTTTCTAGATAAGAGATACAGGTGAGTTCAACTAAGCTACTACACTCCTTTATTTGTTACCAACCTTGCCACTGGCAGACACAGCTCCATTTATCTTCTCAGAGACTTTTCTCCTAGGTGGTGCATTCCTTACTTCAACATCCGCAAATGTGGAAGAGAAATCCTATGAATGTAGTGACTAGTGAATAAGGATGCATGGAATCTGAAGCATATTTCAATTCCTACAACTCAAAATCAGTCAAAATAGAAGAGTAGTGCATATTTCAAATATTTACAATTCCTAGTCTTTTATATCGTAGAAAATAAAACGGAAATTTGTATCCAAACGGAACTCGAAAAAATTAGGCAGAAAAAGATGCACTATATCGCAAGAACAACATGCTCATCAGATCAATTTGAGTAAATTGAAGTACCTCCGAGTCGGTAAAACGCTGCCGAGCCATCGAAAGTGATCGCTGCCTCCTCAATCTCGAACACGAAGTCCCCCTGTTTTTCCTACCATTCTCCGAAAAAGTATTACTCTCCCCAGCTGCTTGCGGCTCAGCGCACCTCGACACTGACCTTCCTCGCCTCCGGTGAGCATCGCCCTTGATGATGTCAACATCCTTATATCTCCCGAGAAAGAACTCATGGGCAAGGTCATCAAGGCTAATCTCAGGGAACACGAACCCACTTGAGTTGTTACTAGGCCGAATCTCTAATCTCGGGGGCTCGTCCTGCTCCAACCCTACCGCTGGAGGTGGGAGGCGGTCGGAGAAGCGACTAAGGCTCCTTGAGCGGCGAACAGTAGCGCCACGGTTGGAAGAGGATGCATCGCCGGCAGCGTCGTCGACGAATGTAGATCTTCTCGTGCTCGACCGAAAGGCCGCCGTCGCCATTCCCGGCTAGGCCGCAAGGTTTTAGAATTTTTAACGAGGATTTATTACACGCATACAACTCAATTTACATATCTACAAAATTAAAATATTATATTTATTCATTTATCACCAAAAATTCAAATTTTCAAATTTTTTTACTCAGTTTACCTCTCCACGTTACCACCTAGAATCGCAACTGAAATCTCCAGTGAGCGAACATGCTCTCTCCTCTCCCGTAAGCCCAATCCTCGACTTCGGTCACACTGAGCACCCTTCCGCGGTCGCCGTCGCCGTCGCCATCGCCATCGCCATCGCTATCGCCTAATTCATTTGATTGCTGCAATTAGTTGAAAAGAATGGGCAACGTGAAATAAGTTTTAGGTGGCAAATTAACCTCTTATATAGTAGCTATACAACTCCTTATATTACTGAACTATTGATCTATCATCTATTTTTCCTGCTTTGTGCACATGTGCAAACTAAATGAATGTGAATAGAGCAATGGAAAATTGCTGGATTAAAGAATTTTGCAAATTTCATCATTATTTAGCAGGTGCTATATTAGTAGTGCTTTAAAAATCGGACCAGTTCAACCGTGGACCGGTTTGAGGGACGATCTGGTCTAATCTGAAAACCGGCTTTGCTTTAAACTTGGCAGTTTTGGTATGAACCGCCAGTTCAACCGGTCCCGATTTTTTAAAACAGGCCGGTTCAAGTTTTAGAATAATATTTGTTAAATAAATTATTTAATATTAAATAAATATTAAACTTAATCATAATTAATATAAATATTATTATAAAACTCTTAAATTAAATTAAAGATAATACTATTTAATTTTTTATATATTTAATTATATATTATAATTTTTATATATTTAATTATACATATGAATGATTTATATATATAATTTATATTTTGAGTTTTTTATATAATTTATATTTATAAATTATATTTAAATATGTAATATAAATTAGCAATAATTTATATTAAATTATATGGTTATTATCTTTCTTTATTTTGTTAATTTTATTAAATATTTATAATAATATTATTATTATTTATTGCATCATCTGGTTCGACCGTGGTTCGACCGGTCGAACCGTGAACCTCTCCTTCTTCCAGTTCGTTGTCCAGTTCTATTTTCAAAACCTTGTATATTAGCATCAAAGGTATCAAACATGGTCAAATTCATTGTAGGCACAACTTACAATGTGAATAATACACTTGCTATAATGAAATGAATCATAAAAGAAAATTTTGTACATGTCTGTGAAACTAGTCTAATGATGATTATAATTATTTCAAATAACTAGTTAAACTGACAACCTCAGCATTTGAGATTACTGGGGAGTTTAATTCGTTGTTCATTTCAAGGACAATATCATGAGAAAATTGATGGATCAGTTGAGCTTGTGGGCCCCATTAGTGTGGGTGATAGGCAAGTAGAGAGGGGGCTCAAAGGCTTATCATAGAAACTAATATTTGAAGGGAATTAGAAATGTTTATTTAGAGAAAGAGGGTTGATTTGAATTCAAATTTGGAAGGGAATTAGGAAAGTTTATTTAGGGAAAGATGGTTGATTTGAATTCAAAATTTAGAGGGAATTAGGAAGGGATATTTATGATTAATTAGGTTGTTTTATGTGCATTATATGAATTATGTTTTGTTGTTGTTTTCTTTAGAGTTGTTCCTTGCGGCACCTACAGTTTGTGGAGAGTTACTCTACCTCTCGAATAATATATCAACTAGTATTTTGGTTTGTTCTGATGATATAACAACTATCTTAACAAATTTCAGTTGTGAATTCTCTTTGTATTGCTATTTTTTGTTGTGTGGATATTGGATTTCTATCAAATTGGTATTAGAGCATCTTTTTTTACCTATGATAGCTTAGAAGGTTAATGCGTTCGAGGAGAGGCTTAATGGGGAAGTTTGAAATTTGAAACCTAAAATCTGAATTTGAAGTGTGAATTTCAATAAATGAGGAAAAAAAAATTAATCTAGAAAAGATGATGAAAAGGAAGTTAGAGTTTCAAGCCAAAACGACATCATCGGAGGCAAGGGAATCGTTGACCGGATAGGGAAGCAGGGAAAATTTATTATAAGGACGATGAGTGACGATCAGGAGGTGCAAATTTTGGAGGAGGAAGAGAAGATGACACCTTTTGAGCCACTTCCAATAAAGGGAAAGGGTAAAGGATATGGTCAATGAAGAAATTAGTATGAATGTTTGCTCGAGAAAATTGGCTATAGGCACGAACCCCGTTTTATAGGCATCTTGTTAACTAGATTTTCCCTGAGGATTGTATCCGGCCTTATTTAATTCTTGGTCATTACTTCTTATGAGCATAAGCTTTCATAGTTAATTATCAAGAGAATTATCGATTCAGGATAAATCACTTTAACATAGCTTAGGAATCTTAGGTTTTAGTCTCGTTCTTGAGGGATGGAGATGGAACTGATTAAGATCCTATGGTTCTGTCATCCCAGGAGTATCATAAATCTCAATATGTCTATGCTAAAAAACCATTGGTTATAATATCCTCGAAATCTAATTAGCAATCATTGGTTGCCTCATCTTAGAGATCCTAAATAGATTGAGATGGTTTGGTTATAATTTAAGTTTGGAGCTTATATCTATTAGAATGCCCATTATTTTATTTAGTTTGGGGTTATGGATTTTTTAGGAGTTTCCCAATAGTTTGGTTTAAGATGAGGCTTACGACTCTACTTAGGAGTTGCCTATTATTTTAATTTGGGACAAGGCTTATGACTCTACTTAGGAGTTGCCCATTGATTTAGCTTATAATGGGGCTTATAACTCCACTTAGGAGTTGCTCAATAATTAGTTTCGGATGGGGCCTACGTCTCTATTTAGGAGTTGCCCGATAGTTTGGTTTAGGATGGGGCTTACGACTTCATCCAAGAGTTGTTTGTTATTTAATTTGGGATGAGACTTATGACTCCACTTAGGAATTGCATGTTGATTTAATTTAGGATGGGGCTTACAACTCCACTTACAAGTTACCTGTTATTTTAATATGGGTGAGGCTTTTGGCTCGACTTAGGAGTTTTATATTGATTTAGTTTAGAATGGGGCTTACAATTCCACCTAGGAGTTGCCCTTAGATATTATTTGGGGATTATTACTTCACTTATAAACTTCCCAAATAGTAGGTATTACTACTTCCATTGAAATTCCCCTAATGATTTTTATTTGAAATGGATCTTATTACTTCTATTAGAAATTGTATGTAGTTTAACTTTATGATAGGTCTTACTACTTCTATTAGAAGTTGCTAGTAGTTAAGTTTTTTATAGGTTTATTGGTTATATTAGAAGTTGTCTGTAGAATTTTATTTTAGATAGGTCTTACTATTTTTATTAGAAGTTCCCTAGCAAATTGGTTAGAGTAGGTCTTACTACTTCCCTTGGATAGAATGTTCATTTTGAATAGAAATAGGTCTTATTTATTATATTTAGAAGCAGCGTAATCATTTAGGTTTGTTGCATTTAGGAATAGTTATTTTTTTGTTTACACTTTCCTCTTGTTTCAGTAACTTCCTTTTCAATCCAATATTACTGCTTTAGTTTCAGCATTTTGACATTTCCTTTAGCACTATTGCTTTGCTTACAATACTGAATATTCTCTTGTTTATCTATCTATAGGTGTTTGGAGCCCGCACTATTGAAGTTTGTGTAGAATATTGTTCAGAATTTGTTCGAGTTTGAGTTGAGTTGAGTTTTAAAAGTTTCAGTTTGAGTTAATTTGGTATTGGAGTCAGTGGGACTGTTGTATCTGATAGAGTTTTAGTGTAAACATTTATTTATATCATTTTTCTTTCTCTTCTTCTTTTACTTGATTGTATTTTTAAAATTATTTTAGAAAAAAATTAATTCAAAATGTGTTTAGTTTCAAATTAATAATTAATTAATTAAAATATTTTCATGATTATTTAGTTAAATTAATTAATTATCATTTAATTTAATTGAAATTACTACGAAAAAACACACTTAAATGTTTCAAGTACTCTCAAATTATGTAAATAAATAATTATCAAATTATTTTTGAAAAGTGCTCTAAAATTATTCTTTTAAAATAACTCCTTTTTATTTAATTTAAGTAATAAAAATGTTTCTCTTCATTTTCCTAAAAAATTCGGCATCCCCCCGACATCGCCTTCCCACGAGAGGAGATTGGTATTATCTCTTTCTATTCTTTTTTGTATTTACATAAACCTTTTTGTGCCAAGCTTTTTAAATATTAGGCGAAACAGGAATCGAGCAAAAGCAATAAAATAATCCCTTGTATACTCATAGATAGTAGGCAACCAGGTTGTGTATGAGATCACACTAGGCTTGAAGGAAATGAGATCAGGCAGGCCTCGATGCTCGTATTTAGAAATAGAGGTGGGTCCTACAGTAATAGGACTAAAGTACGGGTTGGGTGTGGGTGCTCATAGAAGTGAGCAAGAGGCTGGCGATAGATCAAGCCAGGCAATGGGGTTAGGTAACAGATGTAACGGGTGTGTTTTTTACGAGCGACAACAGTAGTATGGCCTTCAGGGCAGGAGTGGATGCAAGCAATTGGGTCAAAAACACATAGGCCAAGAAGCATGCAGGAGATCATGTGAGATAGAGATCATGGAATGAAGAGAATGAGCACAGTGTGAGTGTGTTTTTTGTTCCATTTTGCTGTATTTTATTGATCAAATCAGCATGTTGTATCGAATGGATGTGTTGCTTTGTGAAGTATTGTTCTTACTTGATTTTCTGGTTTTTTTTAATATTTAAATAAATTATCTTCCAACTAATTCATTGTGTGACTTTCACATAATGAATTTGTCATAGCATTTTGTAATATTTTAATGTTTATTTGCATTATATGTTACTTTTCTTTCAAATTAAGATGTTTGACTAGAGTAGATCTCATTCACTACCCAGAACTGACCCTTCGAAGGAGTAGCATTATGATCCTATATTTGGTAGCCCCCTTCAAGCTTTGAGTGGTTGCACTTGGTGGACTCATTATATATTTATAGTATATTAGAGAGTACTCAAACATGTAGGAGTTTAAGAGGCTATTTATATTTCTTTATTATATTATAGTCACTTGTCATCTTCTGGGCTATAGGGTATAATTGAGTGATGGGATAGTACTACAAATATCTATTAAATTGGCCCAAATGAGATGACTATCATGCTTTCAGATTTATAGATTATCTCTGGCCTACCTATCTTGGGCACTCCCTATGAGGAGTGTATTCCTTCATATTATGCTCTCTTTAGTTGTCGGGTGGCTAG